ATCTGAGACTTTATCCATCTGTCCTTTCTTAACCACCTTGTCTACAGTCTTAGCTTTCTTTGCTCACGTTCTGTTAACTTTGACCCCCCCCCCCAACCACTAAAACCCTAGCAGCCATGACTGGCCCTAAGCTTCTGGGCCTACAGCATTGCTCTCCAAGACTGACCTGCAAACTCAATGTGCCCATTTCTATAAAAACCCTGTACGCTTCCTAAAATGCAAGTCAAGCAGCAGTTCCATGGCTTTCCTGCAATGCAGCAAAGCTGCTTACGGAGTCCAGCAATGCATATGGGACTCACCCCATGATTGACATGTGAACTGTGTGGGTATTGGGCTCATTCTGCTGAGGTTAATGGGCTGGAAGTAAAGGCACTGAGTTTTTACCTTTGCCTCTCCTGAGCAGATGCCAATAGCAATAGAGATGCTCTGGAGGGGAAGCTTGGGATGCTCAGTGACATCAGGTGGCTAACTCCTGTTTTCAAGTGAACCAAATCCGTGGCCTTTAGTAGTTACTTCTCTGTAGCCTTCACTTCTCTCTTCAGTTTTACACTAAAGTGAGTCCTGAAATGGTGACTGAGTTACTACCAAAGTCTATGAAAACATTGCTTCACTCATGTATTTATCCCAGAAATTTTTGTTAAATACCTATAACTAAGCACCTAGAGCATGTTTGTTTCAATGCTAGGTTTCTAAAACTCTGCTCAGAAAAAGAGCCCCCTCTCCAGCTCACTCACTTTCATTTTCTGCTGTTTATAGTCTGTCATATTGTAATAGTACACTAACACACATCAAAACAGATAACCCCAGGAAATACACACACGCGCGCAGGCGCGCACACACACACACACACACACACACACACACACACACACAAGCTTCTGAGGCCCCTCTGAGTACTAAAACAAGGACCCAAGGTTCTTCATTCTTGGGACTCTTTCACATTCAGTGTTGGGCTTTTCAGGTTGATGACAGACTGCAACCTGTAAGCCTAACACTCCTTTAACTCCTCAAGTTGGTTTTGCTTAGTGTTTTATCATAGTGACAGAAAAGCAAGATAGGAGAAAGGTGTGTTCATATGTTTGCGTATGCTAAAAACATAAGATCCTGCTTGTTTTACCTTGGCTCATTAGATATTTGTCTCCTTTAGTGAATTCTGAACTATGAAAAAGCTTAGAGGGCTTGTCCTATAGGAGGTGCTAAGTGAAAGGCGTCATGTTGAGGTTGTAACTCGAGTCACTCGAAACGACTTACAGTAAAATAGGCCAGAGTCTACCAACTGTCTACATGCAGAGCTGTGGATAGGTGTTGGGGAGTTGGTGCTCCTGAGTTATATCAGTGTAGCAATCCTTACACAGAAGACAGATGGGGGAAAAGCATCAGATGTAGGAGATGGTGGGGCGTATGAAGAAGAAAAGTAACTCAAAAGACTTAAGAGGTCCTTAGCTCACACCCCCTTGCCTGCGTGCTGTTGTTCTTAGAGTGGCCACTCCAGAAGCTGTGTGTGGACAAACCACCCAGCATCTCTCCTCTAGAGAGCTGTGCAGAGTCAGTAGGGGTTTCTTCTTTCCCCCTGGGAAGTAGAATTTCTTATAGGCATCTGCAGAGGGCTTCTGTGTGGCGGGCAGTATGTGATGTGATGTCTGTGTGTTGCCATGCGCTTGCCTGTGTGGATGAGTGCATATGGGGAATTGTGTGTAGGGTGTCTGCAGAGGCCAGAGGAAAACCTTGGGTGTCATTCAGCTTTCCCACTCTTTTCTTTTCCTTTCCTTTCTTTTCTTTTCTTTTCTTTTCTTTCTCTCCCTTTCCTTTCCTTTTCTTTTCTTTGAGACACAGTCTCTCACTGGCTTGGTACTCCCTTGACAACATAGGTCATCTACCTGTGTCTGTCTCCTCAGCTCTGAATTACCATGTTCACGTTTTTAAAACTTCCTTCATGTAGCTTCGAGGAATTGAACTCAGTTTACTGACTAAGCCATATCCTCAACCATCTTTTTTTAAATTTTTTTTGTTTGTTTTTATCTTTATTTTTGTCAATAGAGGTTTCTAAAGAAACCAGCCAAGCCCAGAGCTGTCTACTGCAAACAAGCCCTGGAGGGATCTAGTGAGCACTTCCTCTAACCACACTAATCTAAGGTGGTGTAGGCGGTTAGTAAGTGTGGGGCTGGGTAGAATGGAACTGTAAAGCCCTAAATTAGCATTGCTGAGAGCAACTTGGGCAGCAAAGATCCTGGAACTGGATGCTCAGACCCAGGCACCATGAACTATCAAAATCAATCAAGCATACAAATAAGTCTCCTGAGGATGATTAATCCTTGGTGAGAAGGTGCCAGGGGGTAAATGATGTGTCAATAATCCTATAGTCGGCTCTAATAGGCCAGGCCCCGTGGGAAGTGCCTGCAAAGTGCTGGGAGAGCCAGGCGTGTCCTGACACAACATAGAGGTGTTAGCTTAGCCTGCTAATATTTTTCTTGGAGAATAATGAAAATCTTGATGGAAGGATCTTCTCATCCCTCTTGTGCTGATGCCTAGCCACCTCTAGGTTGACAAGGAGAAGAGACTCAAAGCTGTTTACTGTCCTTGGGTGGGGGGAACTTACAATCATTTTAAATTCCGACTCACTCTTTCATCTAATAGGACTATGGACCACAAGCTCGGGGCCGAATGCAAAGCAAAGGGCAATAAAGATTTAGCATTTGTTCTCATGAAATTCTCTCTGTGTTTGGGGAGAAAGACAGTAATCCCACAGGCATGTAGGACAACTGACCATGGTCACAACTGACCATGGTAAAGAAGTCAGGAAACACCTTGGAGTCTGCTTAGTCAGGGAAAGGTTTTCAAAAAACAACAGCAACAACAACAATAATAAAAAAAAACCCTGCGGTCTGATGGAAGGAAATACCCAGCTACGAGAAAGTAGCTGTGTGCTCCATGCACGTGATCTTTGGAGATCTCTGCAAGTCCAGGGAGAAAAGGTGAGCAGGGCTTGAACCCAAGCAAGACGTGCACAGGAGTGAGGCTCGGTCTGGCCTGAGGCCCCCTGAAAAGAAAGAAGAGTGGAGCACTTCCTCGATTTCATATTTCAGGGTTCACACAAGTCCTTATGACATTTGAAACCCCATATATTGAATGACACAGAGTGTACCCGCAGCCATAGAAGACATGGGAGCTGATGTACTTACAAAACAGAACCCACAGAGCCTCATCTCCCATAAGAGGGTGAAACATGGGTCAGAACCAGGTCCCTGGGGAGCTTATCTCCCTATTCCTTGCTAGTCTCATCAGCCAATCACAAGTGCTCAATCTAGAATTAAAGGGTCCTTACTGCAGGGCATAGCAAGAGAGGCTGCAGGATCCAGTGGCCGGCAGAGGCAGGCCTACCCACAGCTGGCCTGAGGGAAAGGCTTGGGCTAAGAAACCGGCTTAGCAGCCAGGTCGTTTATCATTGGGTTATAAGTTCATGTAAGATAAATATATGACTCCTAATAAAAACACGCATGCAGACAAGGAGGCTCTTTAACAATGGACAAGACCCATGCTTCCTTCGCCCTGGCAGGCTTCGTGGGCACTGTTCCGGGCCGTTTCCGTTAGAGCACATAGATGATAAAAGGAAGGATTCATTTTCCTCACAGAGTGTCTCCGACGTAATTACCCCGGGGCCCTGGGACCATTTTCAGTCTTGTTTTGTTACAAGTAAATAAATTCTAAGCAAATAAATGTCCTAAAGGCTAGTATAGCCTAGCCAAAGCGCCGCGTGTGCGGTAACGTAGGCCAATGAGACCCAGACTGCTCAAAGACACATCTAGAAAGGCCTTCCTGAGGCAAGCGTGTCATGCTGAAGCCCACATTGGGAGTTTGTTTGGCTTGGCATTTACTGAAACGGCACTCATTCCTCAGGCATAATTCAGATATAAATCCAATGTTATTCATCTATAGCCTGAGCCTAGTCATTAAAACTCGGGCCAGAATTTCCCATTCTTCCTGGATCAGCTTCCACTGAATGAATGGAGAAAGCTGGTTCCATGAAGACAGCCCCCCGCCCCCCCATTATCACAAATGTGGCCCAAAGGCAGCTCGAGTCAAAAGCAAGGCCTCTCTCTATGTGAGAACTGACTTAACCTAGCAGTAGCTATGCGGCATGGGGCTCACTAGTCAGATCTCAGAAGATATTCTAGGACGATTTCTTTACCTCTGTCTGGAAATTTTGCTTTCATTTCCATCATCTGTATATTTGAGGTTGTGTGTATGTCAGTGAGTGTGTGTGTGTGTGTGTGTGTGTGTGTGTGTGTGTGTGACTGTGTGTGTGTGTATGACTCTGTGTGTGTGTGTGACTGTGTGTGTGTGTATGACTCTCTGTGTGTATGACTCTGTGTGTGTGACTGTGTGTGTATATGACTGTGTGTGGGTATGACTCTGTGTGT